TCATTTGAGATTCAGAAGATTTCCTCTAAAGGCGTCTAGACCATGACCCCCAAAAGTTTATCCTGGGAAAAAGAAAAAAAAAAAAAAAAAGAAAAAAGATCCTATCATCTACATCCATCAGTTAAGAAACGGAGAATGTTACAAATGAAGAACATACTCCAATAAATTAAAAATGGCTGCAGATGTAATGAATGTCTGTGTCATTTACTTCTAAATGAATCTCTGGTAATTTAGTCAATGTATTAATCTTCAAAAGACTTTTGATGTTGTGGTCTGTTTGGCTTTGTCTGCTGAACTTTATAGTTTTGCTTTTAATAAGGCAGGGGTTCTGTGTTTTTCATCTGAGTAACAAGTCATTATTGGTATACTGAATTGCTTGGAATTACTGTAAATTGCAGTGTTTGCCTGCTAATTGATGGAGTTTCTGAAGTCTTCAATAAAAGGTGTTATTCTTTTCCAACACTAATGATCTGTTGAGTACTGTCCTACTGCTAGTTTTGGTGTTGATAATGGAGATACATGCTATGCCTATGAGACTTTGTCATTGGACTTACAGAATGAGTCAGGTGATTTAAGCAACAAACATCTACATCTGTACCTAGACTGTACGTCTAGGGTATGCACAGTCACTGAAGCAATCAAAATGCTTACATGGGGTAATGACAGTCATGGGAAAACTGTGTAGCTTCTGTGGAGTCTTTTTTTCCCCTCTCTTTGCACTGCCAGCTTGAAGAAGCAAGCAGCCTTGAGTTAATTGGGTCAAATCTGAGCAGATCACTTGAGATGTATGAAGGCAGGTGCAAGGTTTCTCTTACATTTGAGCCCTACCTCAGCTCTGCCACACTGATTTAAATAACACACTGAAATAACACACTGGCTGAGCAGAACAGTTTGGGGGAGGAATCATTCAAAATAAATAAACCTTCTTCAAGAGTTTGGTGTCTGAAATTATTACATTTTGAAATGTCTTGTAATTTGTCATTCAGTCTGAAATTAAATGTTTTGTTTCCCCTGTGTGTGGCTAGGACCTGTATGTCTTTAGCTTAAGACGAGGAGAAAGTACCAATAACTTTTGGAAAATATTTGAAAAAGAAAAGGCAAATACTTAAAACTGTAGTAATAAAACTTTTTTCTATTTCAGAAAAATTTCCTCAGCATCACCACTTTTGGTTTCTGGTAAAACCTCATCCTTTCTTTTGGGTCAAGACCATCTGCCAAATTCAGCAAATGTGGTGATAGGTTCAATTCCTATTCAAAATCACAATTAAAATAAAAATCACATAAGGTGCTGCAAAGGGTGTTGACAGTGGCAAAGTTCACCCTCGTCACTGGCTTTCTTTGAAGAGCTCATGAGGTTTTTGTTTCCATGGGACAGACTTCCAGGCAGAGGCAATAGCACTGCCTGAAAAATAGACAAATAAACAAAATGTCTTTGATCAGAACTATCTATGAATCTCAGAGATAGGGCTGAGCACTGAGTAAGAGCTGAAGAACTCCAAAGCTAGTCTAACTTGAGCCAACACAGACTTTGTGGTGTCATTTCATGGGTCATTTAGAAGCTGTCCATGGACCAACAGGGACTCAGTCCTCCACGAGCAGTCTGAAAAGCAGACTGATTTACTGTAGAAACGTAGTTGGTTAAATTTTAACATCAATATATATATTATCTGTGTAACAGATTGCTTTATTGTTTTCATGCAAAGGAAACATTTGTTTCTGTGGTCTCCTTCTTAATTGTCACATTATTGACATTGCCTTAAGAAAAATACACCAAGCTCATATTTCATTCACTACCCTTCACATCTTCATCATTCAGCACTGAAAAAAAAAAGCTTTATATTTGACATCACTTTTCACATATAGAACAGCAACTCTCTTGTTGAATAATGCATACAGTATATGGGAAGCAGCCTTGCCTGCAATAGCCTGTGATTTAAAAAACCTGTGCTCTGGGTGACTTTGAGCAAGTAGCTTCCCTGTTCTCTGCCTTGACTTCTGCTTTACAAGTAGTGTGTATAATGCTATGGAGCTGCTCACCAAGGAAGACACTTGTGTTCTGTGAATTAAATTGCTAAATGAGTAAAGTAATAACAATTCGCACCTCATTTTCCACTTGCACTGATAAATGATATGTGTATCTGTCATAAAATGCTCCTATTACATTAAATATGCACCCTTATCATCTGTGCATTAAGTGCACAAAGCTGCACAGGACCGCGGATAGCCAATAGAGAGGACTAAAGGACTATGGAGGAGGTGGAAGGAAGCACTGTTCCGTAAGAAGGAGCATAAAGCAGCATGCACTCCCCAGCAAGCACTGCCCCTCAGCCAAAACTCAGCTCTGATATCCTCAGGGCAGCTCGTCTTTTCAGGGAAAACATAGCAAGATTAAACAAGCTGGCTGAAACATCAGCACTCCATGCAGGACTGGCAGTGAAACATACTGGGGCCATCTCAGCACTCCCACTTCCCTCCTTATTGCTTTCTTACAGTGACACATACTCATACCCGTGCCTTCTTCTACCTGTCCTATTGTACACAGATGTGCTTAGCTCTGCATGAATTCTCCCAGAATAAGCAGCAGCTGCTCCTGGCAGGTGCTAAACCTGTTTAGCACATCCCTTCCCTTCCCCCTTCCCAGCACGTCTGCATGCAAGCAAGCACACATGCACAGAGCAATATTATCACACATTAAATTACTGCTGTTGAAATCAGATTCTGGCTTACATGATGCTGACAATATCGTGGTTTATTGCTAAATGCTACAAATAATTCCTGACACTCTTGGTGATTTATCTTGTAGCTCATCTATTCATCTATTCAGGGATTTCCTCCGCCATGTAATATCACCAGGATTTTGCCTGAGGAACAACTGCCAGGGAGGACCTGCTATTACACCTTGCTTCCTTCTTCTGGAATATATTAGCATAATACAAGCAAACACCACAGAGCAGTTTGCCATATTGTGTAAATGCTCATTTTATGTTAAACTTAAACTGATAATAGATGCTTGTTGAGAAGAGGCAGATTTTCATTTTTTTTTGTTTTTTAATAGAAAAATGTAAAAACAGCTGGTATGTCTGTATCTGACTTAATCCCAACATAATCCAGTGACATTTTTGCATCCTTGCCTGTCATTTAACATACACCTAAATTCAGACTGCAGAAAAGAAGTTCTGTATTTACAGTGGTATACTACGAACATTTTACCATTGATATCCACCAGAGAGCCTATAGTTGTGTATATTATGTCCAGGACATAAATAGTCATCCTTGGGGGAGGGGGGGGGGGGGGGGACGGGACGATGACACATGCTTGGTTTACCTATGGAAAGCATATTAGAAATGCCTAGGAATAGCATACATGACCAGCTGAGTCAAGGGCATATCCACTCACTGGAAGAGGTTTCCTCTCTGGAACAGAAGTTGTTCCCAAAGCAGTGAATGCACCAAGTGCTTAGTTCAATAAAACACGTATATAATGACCAGCCTGAATCAGACCCAGCTAGCCCCACAGCCTGTTTCCCAAACTACCCAGCAGGTGTTACATTGGGGAAGTTGTTAATAAGTACAGACAGATCTTTGGCCAAACACCTCTTCTGGCAGTCAGTGCCTTCGAGATCACCTGAGCTGAAGGTCATGCAGAGACCATCCTTGTAATGAGTGCCAATGGACCTGTCCTGATTTAGCTAATCCTTTCCTGATTCTATTTGCATTTTTTCCTCCACAGCTTCTCTCAGCAACGAGAGCCTTCTTTAATTATGAACTGTGTAAAAAAGCACCTTCTTTGGCTTGCTTTAAAACTGCTGCTTGATCCATTGGCAATGAAGTCCCATTAATCCTTGTGTGTCCAGAAACAGGGAATAGTCCTTCCTCATGCTTGTTCTCTATCCATGTAATAACTTTATTCAGTTTTACCATATCTCTTTCTTTCAGTGATCAAACAGTTCAGTAATTCTTTCACCTCTGCTTTTTAGAACATGAGGGAAGGTCTAATCCTACAGGTGCAGTCTTCAGAGTATGTTGGCAGAAGGCATTTATACAAATGGTTAAGGTGCTTTTGGTTTGGCTCTCAATTCTTCTTCCAAATAATTCTTAACAGCCTGCCTTGCCCTTTTGACCGCTGCTGAGCAATGAGCTTACAGAAGCCTATCCAGTGCAACTCCAAGATTTACTTCTCGAATAGTAACAGCTAATTTAGAGCTAAGAACAGTACATGCATGGCTAGAAATATTTTTCCCATATGCATTACATTGCACTTATCAGTGCTGAATTATGGTTAATATAGCAAGATCTTCTGCAGTCATTCACAGTCAGCTTTAGATTTGACTGCAATAAATAATTCTGTATGACCACCAAGCATTGCCACTCAGCCCCCTTTACAAGCTTGCTCCTGAGATATGATGAAGCCTCAGCATAGCTAACATTTTCCTGTGAAAAATTTATCATTTGCTCTTGTTTCTAGTCTTTTAATCAGTTATTACTCTATGAGAGGCCTGAGAGGCCTCTCCAAATGACTATTTTTTTATTTTTTTTTAAGAACCTTTGCGGAGAAACATTCTTGAGATCTGTCTGGGAACCCTCAAAACCTACATCAAATAAATCGCCTTTATTCATGTACTTCTTTATTTCCATCATAGAGCACTCATAGATTTGTGAGTCATGACTTGCCTTGGTAAAAGCCATGTTGACTATTCCTCAATAAATTGTACTTTTCCGCACATCTGGCAAATCTGTTCTGTACATAAATTTCTATGAGTTTGTTTGGTACAAAAGCCAGGCATAACAGTCTATATTTTCCCATCTCTCTCTTGCAGTCCTGGTTAAACCAAACCAAACCAAAAACTTTTCTTCTGCTTTCTGATATCTAGAACCTGAAGTTTGTCTACTCCGAGAATAAAACGAAAACTTTAACTGTTTTACAGTTTTGTTTTGTTTTTAATTATTTACTGTTATTTATTGATTTGTTCCATATCCTATTCCGCTGTTTTTTCCAGATAAGACAGAGATTCCCTGGGAATATACCCGCTAAAGAACAGCAGTGTCTCATGCCTCTCCTTCACCTCTCTGTGGAGAACACAGAGACAGAGAAAACTACAACCTTTCCCAATGAGAAGCGAAGGACATGCCTTCACCACTAGCAGCTGCTGCCACTTTGTACCTTCCTGTCCCAGAAGATGTGGTACCAGCTGTGCAGATCCCTGTTTACACTGGGCTTCATCCCCTCCAGTATTCATTCAGCTTTCTTGCAATGACATTGGTGCCTGTGTGATGCTTTTACTTCTTGTTCAATTCTGGACCTCAGTGGGCACGGTAGGTGTCCTATTTCTGATGCTTTTGAAGTTTTTGTTGTTATTAAATTTCATGCCTTTAGCAAATTGCTCCTCACAACCTCTTCTCATATTTTTTTTTAGACCGCCTTACCAAGGTTTTATATTTCACTTGCTAAAGTTTTTGCTGCTAGTTATGGAATCATTATTGCTTTCTCTCCCTGGCTCAGAACTTGTTTAGTTATTTCATGCAATAAGACATAACATGGAAAGGAGAAACTAGAAGAGCCTCACATGAAGTGTCCTACAATCCTCTCAGAGCTAGAGGGTCATGCTTCCTTGAAGCATGGAAGGGATTTTATCTTGGGTTTCTGTCACATCAGTCTGTGAGTAAATGCTGATTCTGTCTTCACCTCTAACTCCCTGCACACTTTCATTTTGTCCCCTTGCTTAGTGTTCCTTGGGAGCACACAGATGGCTCTTAGCACAGCATCAGTGTACCCCATGCCTCAGGGCTAGCTTCTACCCCTTGCTCCATAAGGGTCCCAGGTGTATGGCTCTGGGACCTGCTTTCTGCTCCTGGGAACCCATTACTATGAAAGGTTTGGTGTTTTAACTCCTTCTGTGCATGCTTTCATAACTCCAGCCTTCAGGCTGTGTGTATACATTATCCTTCTGAACAAATGCTGGCAGTGTAAAATTAAAATATGTCAGCACTAGTAAAGCCAAATATGCAGTCTTATGATCATGACAAAGTAGTTTGGGTCAAAATTTGTCTTGTAATCTTTCTTTGTAGTGGTTTGTAAGGAAAAGCCCCTTGGTGTTGGCCCTGACATTAACCTTTCAGACTAGAATGCATTCAGACAAGTCAGACTGTTTTTTGTCCTCTGCTCTAGAAATAAATAATTAAATAAATCTGAAGGATAATTCTTTATGTATTGATCTGTGAAAATCCCATCACTGCTATCAAATATTCAAAATTTGCTGTTACCACATTGCAATGATTTTTACTGTTTTGGAACAATGTGATTTTATATGTGAAATACAGAGGAAATTGCTTTTTCTCGGTGTTCCAATGTTTCTGAAACACAGCCTCACTGAAATTAAGCTAACTGATTAAATGAGCTAACTCAATCAACTAAATGAGCTCTACTCTCCCATAGGACTTAAAAGCAACCCAAACTTTCCACTAATAATATATCTATTTCCACTAATAATATATCTATGATGGCCTTAGGGGTCTTTTAACTGGAGATATGACTGAATTTAAAAACAGAAGTATCAAAGTTGCCTAAAGATACCATTGTTTTGGTCTTCTCAAAAACAGCAGCCCAACAGGTCTCTGAGTTTGTCAGTCTATGGTAATGACATAAGTAAATTTGAACTGTAATTGACTCAGATTCAAAGCTCAATTCCATATTATCTGGCCTTATAAGGCATATTTAGATTGTTTTGCCTTGAAATGAGCAGACCAGGGTTTCTTCTAATGCAGTGGAATAATGCCCTCAAAGCTTGAGCAACCAGAGGACTGGTAACAATAATGACATCCATAATCAATATATCATCACTCTAATCATCTATTATGCCTTTATGTGGAATGAAAATTGGATGAAGGTCCACCAAAAAAAAAAAAAAAAAAGAGGAAATGCTCAGCAAAGGCATTGTTATCAAGAATGCCTGTCTTCAGAGAAGCTACCTGGCTGCTTTTCTCCTAGGATTATTTGGAGGGACAAAGCTATGCCATATAGGCTCTACAGCCAATGAGGAAAGTAAACTTTAAGACACGGTCCTGACCTGCTCCCTGCTTTTCTGCTCCCCAGAGAAAGAAATTTTCTGGGCCAAAGTAAAAAGAAGCATGTCCCTCCAACTCTTCTTGGGGCTGAGGCTTTCTGAATGGACCAGGGGCATCGGATGCTTTGGCAAATCTTTTTTTCTGAGCTCTCAAGTGAGCAGGGCACAGGTGTTTTCTTTAAGCAAATTTGGTGGGCAAGATGGTTTTGTTGTTTGTGTGTGAATCTGTCCTCTGTGGGGAAAGATGACGATTTCCATCTTCTCCAGAGCCCAGACATTTAATCCTACCACTTCCTCACGAAGCTCTGAGCTGCAGTGCTGCAGAGTCACCTCCCTTCACTCAGACCAGGACCTCTCCCATCTGCCTCAGTGGAAGAGGTCTCCAGCAAAGCATCATCCACAACAAAGCAGCATCAGTGGTGATTCCTGACTTCTTCTTGCAGGCACCAAGACCTACTGCTTCTGGTCACAAACCTCCAGATGGATCTACCAAAATGATACCTGTAAGTACAGTTGTGCTGTAGGGTAACCTGCAGATGACAGGCCTCACCTTCTCCTGCTGAAGTTATGGCATGGCGTGGCAAGGACAAAGTACTTACAGAGCCAGAAAGAGAGCAAATAACTAAAAACCCCAGGACTGTGGCCTTGCAGTGTTATAATAGGTTGTGTAGGACCAGTCAAGCGAGCTTTAGGGTCCTGTTTTAGGGCTATTTCTAGGTCTGATCACATACTTAACCCAGGAGCTTTTGAAAGACATTGGTACTTGGAGCAGAAACCAGCACATAGCCTTATCCTCTTCACCAACCACTAGGTAACGTCTGTTTGGAGGGGGGGAGAGAATGTGTGTCAGGATCTCCCTCTGGACTGGCGCTCTTGCATTCTTGTGAAAATGGAAGTTGTTTTTTGCCAGCAGGGAAAAGGAAACCAGAGTCTAATAAATCGTTCAGTGTAAACACAAGTGAATTCATTATTCATAGTTGTTTAATGAAAGTTTTATGTTAACAAATCTTGGTTCAGTAGATGGCTCGTAAGCTATTTGCTGCTTTTTCCTGTCTTTTTGTTTCTTTAATTCACTAGGTCACATTCATTGCAGGTGAAGCTTTCAGAAAAAGAAAAAATAAAGATCTGAAGTGAGTCAGTGCTTTTGAGCACTCACTAGCTGCAAGATGCCTTTTGCTCCATTTGATTCAACTCCATTATTCATTGCTTGAATTTTTTTTTCAGAAGGAGACACATGTTTAAAATGTCACTTACAATATGAAAATTTGTTTTAACACAGTTTAGTCTGAGCGTTTATGGTAGTCCCAGCGTTCCCATCTGTGCTTATGAATCTTTTCTTTCCATAAATAGGTGAAGGAGAACTGTGTTTTGTTCTATTCCTATCTTCACTCAGAGCCTCACAACTTGCTCTCATTAAGTCTGTGTTTGCAGAGGTCATTATGAATAACGTCTCGTTGAAGCTGCAGTCAGAGATAAGAGGTTTATATGTGGGATTCTTAAGTAAGGCCTGGTCATGGTGGTTTTCACTAGTTTCCATATTTTCAGTATTTCCATATTTTCAGTGGGCCAACTCTTTGTCAGAACAACTTCTGTACTACTTGACTCATCCTTTCCTTGGCCCTTCTCTGAGAGCAGAGTACACACACCCACCAGGTTCAATGAGACGTGCTTCAACCACTTCGAGCTGCATCTTTGTCCTCACAATGTTATTAACAGCCACTATATTTTAAAGCAGGCTACATGCTTGATTTCCAGCACTTTGTGGATTTTGATGTATCCGTCTGCAAACTGAAATTAACCATAGGCAGAAGTACTCAGGGAATCAGTATTTCACTAGGCTTCAGGCATGGGTAAATGGAAACTAAAACTAAATGCCAATGTACCAATTAAGACCTTCTTTTATTTGAACTATGGCTTATACCTTCCCACAGTACTAGAAATATTAAAAATCCATAGTATGAGTGAGGAAGATTAGACCTCTTTTCTTGCAAAAAATATAGTCCAACAGCTTTACCCTTCCATTCAGAAACTTGCATTCCTCTCTGTGGCATGTGTTGTGATTAAAATATCTCTGAAGCCCAGCACAACAGACTACCAAGATAAATAACCTCCAGTTGATAAAAAAAAACTCACTGTTGAAAGAAGGTGCTGTAATCAGCAGCTGGCTATGGCTCTGCAGCACTCTGCAGGCAGCCACTAAGGTCTGGAGGTACAAACCCAGGCTGTGTCACAGCTGGCAGCTCTGCCGCACCAAAGCAGAGACTAGGAGGGACAGGGCACCCAGCAGAGTCCTGCCTGCCCTTCATCTGCCTCAATTTTCCTAATGGCTCCACTGCTTATGTTAGATGTGCATACTTTTTTACATAGCTACCTAATTATCTCCATCATCAAAATGATATTTGTAAGCCCAGCACACAGAGGGGAAAAAAGAGGTAGTGACAGTGAGAACACAAGGAAAGGAAGGGCTGTACCACGACCGTGTTTTTGCCAAAACCTGCCTCAAGTGCCAAGTTCGGTCTCTAAGCATCTCCACAAAGAATTGATTGAGAACATAGGCTCACAAAGTCTGCCAAACTGCATTTCCTCCCTTTTCCTTGCAAGGCTCCAGGACAATTGGCGTAATTAAAAGTCATGCTGAGGAAGAGACAGAGCAGAGCTGCAAAATGATGGAGGGTGATATTCACCTTTGACAGAGGGAATATTCAAATGACAGAGGGAATATTTACATTTCGAATATTCACCAGAAAGGTGAATATTCCCTTCCCTGTTCAGTGCAGGTCAGGAAATGGGCTGCTGTCCCCTTCCTGGATGTGCAACTTGCTCTGTTTCTTCCTGACGATACTAAAGGCTGCATCCCCTATCCCAGTGCAGGCTGTTGGACTAGGAGCCTTTGAGATAGCCCATCTGCAACCTACATCTGCTGTACTGTATTTATGTGCTAGCAACAATTATTGCAGCAAACAGGGAACGCATTGCTGTCCCGAAGAGATCTCCCAGTCATGAACACCCTTCTGGCCAAGTCCTCTTCACCCCAGCCCTGCAGGCTACTCTTTCAGGGAACCTACTCCCCTGGACCAGTTTTCAGGTATGGCCAGCTTTCCCAAATGATCTGGAAGTTATTATAACTACTGTGATAGCCTCCACCTCATGAAGAAGCCATTTTGTTGTCGTCCCTTTTGCAGAAGAGTACGACTTAGGGCATGAAGTAAGCCTGGACAGGCTCACTCAATGAGCCCCTCGCTCCTCTCCTCCCAGGAGCAGGGTGCCCCAGGCTTTGTAGCATCCATTTCAGGCACCTCCAAGCACAGAGGATGTTTGCCTGTAATGCCATGGAGAGAGGAAGCAGTTTGAATGGATGCAGTCCTCTGCTCAAAGCTCCATCCAACTTAACGCCATCATGAAATCTGTACACTGATTTAAAATAGCAGAGAGTTTTCCTGACATAGTAGCTTGTGTTCTTTTTTTGTTGTTGCTTTTTTTTTGTTTTGTTTGCTTGTTTGTTTTAAGAAAACCAAAACCTATATAGAAATAGAAGGGGCCAACACATGCAATAGCCCTACAATTAATTCCTTCCTAACTCAAATGCTTTTGGACTCCAAGAAAGTTTGTGTCTTTGAGCTCCACTGAGTGATGACCTCAACTGGAACGCTATGGCTGGGCCTCTACAATGATGAAAAAGACTTGAAAAGGTTTCTGAGGTGCCAGTATGAATTCATTTTTCAGCAGCTGCATGTATCTATTTTTCTCACTCAATTAATGTAAGCAACAGACACTGAAACTGGGTGTTTAAGTTGAGCGAGTGAAGGAAAATGCTGATATTATTCAGGAACTGATGGTATCTGCCAATATCTACCACCGCTGGCTGAGGTTTGATGGAAGAACTGAGAAAACATGTTGAAAATGTGACAGCCAGTGAAAGTGTTCTGCTTGATTGCTCCAAATTGGATAGTGTTTGCACAGATGGGGCACCTACTCTGACTGGCAGGAGTACTGGTTGTGTCGCTTTGCTAGACAGGTTTTTGTATCAACAGTTATCCAAAATACCATTTTATTGTCATTGGGAGGCTTTTTGCACTAAAGACCTGGATTTTGCAAGAGCTCTAATCCCTACTGTCTGTTTCATCAACACAGTACTCATGCATACAGTAAATCAATGTTTCTTACAAATGTGAACAGGAGGAAATTAATGCTCCTCTGTAACATTAGTTAGCTGCAATAAGAAAAGGCCCTTCAAAACTTTTGGAAACAAAAGGAATAGGTGGATTTTGGAAGGGAAGAGTGAATTCATGAACGACAGCAATCTGCTTAGAGACTACAGTTAGATAGTTAACTAGTTTCCTTCACAAGCATTACAGTTTGTCTCTATGTCTACAGGAAAAAGGCTGTCTTTGGGTTATGATGTTTAATGGCCTTTTTCATGATAAAACCAATGAAAACTCTTGTCCCATAATAATTTGGATCACCTTCTTTTGGAGCAGTTAAGAATTGATAACAAGGCTATAAATTAGGAGATCTATGCTGCAATGTCATCAATTCTGGGCTCAGTGCAAATGAAGTGTTGAAGACATTAAGGTAGAAAAGACCGCTGTGGCCATTTAGCAATCCTCTTGCTCAATTTAAAATGGGAAATGTTGAAATTCAACACTGCAGGAGAGCTTGAGAAGGAACTGCAATTCATTTCTACTGAACCCAGACTTACCCCCACTCTGGAAAAAGGTCCCTAAAGTTATTTTCCCCTGATATATACAACCTTGTTCTTTCTCATGGATAGTTTTTGGCCAGTTTCAATCCATCAGCAGTCAGTTTTAGATAACAACCCCCTGGTTAGAATATATGTTTCTTACATCCCAGATTTTATGTAGGCTTAATTCTGTATGTTCCCCAAAGCTGAATGTATATACCTGAAGATGTTACAGGTAAAATGCCTGTTCAGAAACCCACTGAGCTGCCACTGCAACACACTGCTGAAGGCCGCTGTTGCTTTGAGCAGAGGGCACTCCCATGTAGATGAAGCCCTGATGTGATTGGGGCACAATGCAATTGTCTTCCCAAACTGGGACAACATGGGAGAGATGTCCCTGCAGTGGCCTGGGATAAAAAAAGGAACTCCTCATCTCAGTGAAGTCATCTTCGCTGGAGTACATAATTACCACTGAATTTTTAAACAGCTGTAACACATAATATTAATGCCTGAAGAGAACAGCAGAAGGCATTTCCAAGGAAACAAACCACCACATTTCCCTGTTTACTGTCACAATGGGCTGAGATAAAGCTAAAGCTGGTTGAGAGCTAACAGGGTTTAGAAAACAGTCAAAACTGAGAAATACAACATCTACAAACAGAAAGGATCATATAAATGGAGAAAACCTGTAGACAGGGGCAAGAAGCTTCAGCCTCTGTTTGCCATTTTATATTCCCAGCACAGCTCCATCACTTCATTGCCCTAAATCTGGCATGTGGGAGGAAGGAACCAGAGCAGGAGAGAGAAGGAATGCAAGAGGTGCCAGAGTTGAGGTAAGAAACAAAAGGACAGGTGGCAGAAACGATCCTGTGAGCCTGGTTTTGTGCATACACCTCTGATATGTTCAGGTTTAAACATCTGCCCATGTGGTGAGGTACTCCAGTGATGATATCTCTATGTAGAGAAGCATTTAGAAAGAATAGGGGATTGGAAACAAGGATAGAGACATCCCTGTCTCAGAACGTTATTTATGAGGATACCTTAAGTTCCTATGCTGAACAGGTTCCTTCTAGGGGTCTATGGAGCAGTACAGGGTGCCCCCTTGCAGAGGAAAAGCTTTGTGCCAAGCATTTGATTGAGAGAAGGGACAGGTTGCAGCGACACACTGCTCTGCAGATCCCAGTGTAGGCAGTCTCCAAGCCGAATTTTCTTTTTCTGTTAGAAAATGGCAGCTTTTAATCAGTCCATTGTGCTGAAGCAGTAACCAGATATTCATTCTTTTCTTAGCTCAGTACTGGTACAAGATCAATGAAGACCTCAAAACCAACCAACCAACCAAACAAGCAAACAAAAAACCTTCAAGTTTGTCACCAGTTCAATGTGGAGGAAGAAGGTCAGAGAGGAGGCATTTCAGACTGATGTTTGGTTCAGGTTTAGTAAATTCCTTGAGCATTTTTATTTGAAATTTGTATTATAATGCTTCTGGTGGGGAAAAAATGAATAACAGAACCACAGAACCTGAATACTGCAACATAATGGCACACACATTGCAGCCAGATAGATCCTGATCCAAGTCTGACTGATTATAACTGCAGTAGAGAACTCTGGCCAAGGTAGTTTGCTAAAATTCACAACAGGACAGTGGGCAAGGTGATGGAGCTGTTAGCAGCAAGAGATGATAAATCTCTTTCTGAAATGGGAACTGACTGACAACTATGTCTATCTCCAGTGTATTACAGGTTATTTCATCTGCTTCTCCCTGCAGACAAGCCCGCACAAAGATCAAGCCAAATAAATGCTTAAAAGTGAGCCGCTGCAAAGTGTAGTTTTTCACTGCCTGAAACCTGGGGTCGAATCCTGGGCCATGGTGAGTGTGCTCCCTGTAGCAGGTGGGAAGGGTCACACAAGACCAGAGTTGCATGGGGTTGCAAAGGTGTCTGTAACTCATTATTCTGTTTCCAGCAGTGGCTGTAAGGGGTTGCTTAAGGAAAAATAGTCAGGCCAGGCACGTAGGCTACATTGCCCTAGCAGTCTCTCAGCCTGTAAACAGAGTAAGGTCCATTTTTCAGGGGCTTGAAAACCACAGCCTTAGCATTTCTGGCTGCTTGTTCTAGCCGCCTGAGGCAGTGGCCTCACAACTTGCACGAAATCAGGGTCACTAGTGAGGCAGGACACAACGGTCAGGCACATCTGCATGTCAGTGCGTCCAAACAGTATCACACAAAAGTCAGTTGTATCAGCAGACACTGCATGTCCATGTCCCTGCTTTTAAAATGTGCCTTCCGAACAGGAACCCAAAGAACCAACATACTTTAATTCAAGTGTTTAGTTATGGCCTTGGGAGTAGGAGTAAGGCTTTCCTCTTTACTCATACATGCTCAAGTCACTAGGACTCCTGCACATCATTTTCATCTCCAGCATCCTCAGAGTTTTTGTTTGTTTGTTTTTCCTGCTTATTGTTAGGATTTCAAGAAGGGAGAACAAATTAAACAAACAAACAAACAAAAAGCAAAAAACACTTTCAGTTTAACCCACACCTGAGAGAGGGCTGCCTAGGGTGCAAGGAAGACCTGAAACAGGATCTTCCATTTCTTGTATTGATCAGTCTAACCTGTGCAATAAGGTATAAAGTAGATTTGGGATGTGGCAAAAACTTTTCCTACTTCCTATTTCACAGGGAAAATTAAATAAATAAATAAATAAATAAATAATAATAATAAGCGACATATCAGCTGTAATAACTGTGTTTTGTGGAAAGTCTACTACAGACAGCATATGCTGCAAGTACCCCACTGGACATCATTTCCATCAGGGCTTGCAAATAGGAATGCCTAAATTCTGGACCGTCATCATGCATGGGCATAAATTAGGTGCTAAAAGGTTTGGTGCTTTTAAGTTTGGGTCTGTTCTGGGGTCATACAGAGCTGTGACTCTTGGGAACTTGAGGTCTGTGTGCAATCTGCTCCTACACATAGTTTGAGTAAGGGTGGCACAGTTAAATCCTGTCTCACCTAGGATTTGCTTCAGGCACCCTATTGTCCTAAGAAAACTTCCCCATCACTAGATTTGTTCTGTATAGATTGTAGTGTAGGTAAAAATTGCTCATAATCTCATAATAAGCATTTACTGTAGCAGTTGTAAACAGACTTCCATTTTGTCCATAGCATATGTACATGTCCATAATTACACAAAAGAATATTTTCCTTTTTTTTTTTTTTTTTTTTTGTGGGGGGGTGGGGGTGGGGAGGGAGTGGGGGTGGGGATGGGGATGGGGAATGAAAATCAATATCCACAGGGAATTCAAAGCCAACCACAGAATGGTAGCTGTTGTTTGAACCATGCCATGATTGACTTTGCAATTATTTTTTCTTTGCTGCCTTGGAAAAGAAACATTCATTTTCTATACCTTCCCTTTTCACAGAGCAGCCCTATACTTGAGGCTTTATGAATCACGGCTCATGTACTACTGATGCTGTGTCCAGTCCACTCCTAAGACTGAAAGCTAGGAGATGCAGGAAGCCTGCATGGCCTTGTTGATTTATGAGTTAAAGAGCCAAGAAGAGTTACTGAGCTCTTAGTCTGTGATCTGAGGCTGCTTAAACAGAAATTACCATTGCAGATAGAGAGGAGACCTGTCTGTTCTCAGGGAGATGACACACACTACAAATGGAGTTTTATGAAGGACCTGAGCAAAATAGGACAAAGCCTTAATTTATCTCATAAAGACGCAACCCAAATTATGCTGATGACCACACAGGTTGTTTCTGAAAGAGATTGCTGGGATTTTCATGTATTTCAGATCATTCTAGCCCTAAGCCTCTTTATAAAACATTTAAAAACTTGGATCATCAGAAGCTGGGTGAGGGAGGTTTGTTTAAGTGGCATGCAGAAATTCACAGGTTAACAATGATGGCCTTTTGGGGAGGATGACATTTTAAAAAGAGGCAGTGGCAGCCCTTCTTTGCCTTGCTATGCATGAGATGGGAAATCAAGGCAGCCTGACACTGCTCTGAACTTTTCAGACAGAAACCTCCCCTTTCCCTATAGACATTTTTGCATGCTGGAGAAGTCAAACTTCTTGGCTTGTTGCTAAGGTTTGGAGGAAACACATGGAAAATTGTTCCTAAACATTTGCAGTGCTGGCGACATTAGCAACTGAAACCCGGTAGGTAAATGTGAGTAAAAAGTAGCAAGTAACATGTGGTGTAGAAAGCATTTACTATTATGTTTAAGTGCTTGCAGAATGTCTCTCTGTTGTTATATTTACATGGAGCACTTTGCGTACAGAACATCGATCTCTTACAGAGCCAACACATTACTGTGTTAGAAATAGTAAATTAGCAACAATACAGTTCAGGTAGGGGGGCTCTCAGCAAAGGGAATTTACCTTTATCACATAAAATGAAAGAGAAAAACCTATTTTATACCTTTATGTCTTTGTCAGCCCACATGACAAGGAGGCAGTTACCCCTGCTGCTAGATGCCTTTGACAACATTGTTAAAAGGCATGCATAACAGAACCAGCTACCACAGGAATTAAATATTCTGAATGCTTTATTTCCAATGTTAGTCACATTCAGCTCCCTTCCCTGGCCCCTTGTCCCTCAAACCTGAGCAGGTGGAGGGACAAGAGGACTGAGGAGGTCAAGACATTAAAACTATTTTGGATCGAGACAATAGCATCTCACTGGGGCTTGCTTTACCTTGCACAGTTCAGCGGGGTGGTGCTAGTAGAAGTAGCTAGTTGGAAATGAAAAGGGGTCATAGACTGGCAAGTAATAAATCTTTCTGCATTTCTAGGGACAAAAATTACACCCCCTGGCCTCCACAAGAAAAACTGTTGGGAGGTGAGTGTAAAGCTGAAGCTCAGGCCAGTGAAGACAGCACATCTGGGCTTGCCAGACTGTACCATCAGGACATAACCACACTTGCACTTCCATGAAAACTTACCTCATCTCCAGACTGCACATGAACATTTAAGCTTCAGCTTTGGTTCCAAACCTGAGCTGACACTGCTGTCTTACATGGGCTCAGCTGACATGAAACTCGCTGTGGTACCAGCTGTGGATAGCTGCTCAGTGCTCACCTTCAGCTACTCCATAGCCCATGATGATTGGTAGCAGTGGTTGACATCAAGTCAACAAACCTGGCAGTGCTTCTTTACAGAGCAAAAACAAATGCACAGCATAGATTTGTTGGGTCAGTGACAGTAGATATCAATTGTGGGGTCCAAAACTACCCTAGAGAGAACCATTGCAGACAATCACCACTACCTGTTGCTTGCAGACCTCCCCACTGCTTCACCTGCAGCAGTTGAAGACTACGGAGTTGAAACTCACTCCAACATGATATGATATCATGACATGATATCCTGATTTAAGACCTGAACCTGCAACTGCTTCCTTAGGTGGGAGCTAAAAGGAAGGGTCTGATTTTTCTACCTCTATACATTTTCTATGGGATGAGTACATTCCTTGTTCTTGTTAGTAAAAAGAGGAGTTGTCTCATAAATATTTTATTGAATATCTTTCTCTTATCTAATAGTGTTGAGAGAACAATAGGGGAAATAGCAGAATGCTAGTTTTGTTTTCTTCTGATAACACTTACATATATGTACTTGTGGACTAATACTAGAAGAACAAACGGTGTGATCTAAATTAATCTCATATTTGGTATTTCTAAAATTGCCTCCATGAGAAAATTTGGACCCATGCTGAGATTTTTTTTCCTTTTATGATGCAACTTGCTTGTTTCAAACCGTGCAAGGTTTTCTTGCTTAATTACAGCTCAGTGTTTTTAACTGCTGGCTACAATATTGGAGGTCTTTTGCAGTTCCAATATACATCTGCAGGTAAGAGAGAAAATATTACATAATCCATTAAGTGTTGTGGATTACTAAAGTTTGTAGAAGACTGCAGACACAGAACATTCTATTCAAGCTACCCAGATATTACTAATTTCTCCATTTCCAAAGAGTTGCACGATTCCAATTTTACCAGAGGCTATGCAGTTAAAATCTCACATACAGGTTTGAAATCCTGTAACAATAAAAGAGAAGAGCTAAATTTCTATTGTTGTACCAAGATTTCAGTTCATGGTCATAGAGGGTTGCTAAGGAAGCAGAGTTTGAGCTTTGTAAAACAAGAAGAGAATTTTCAGCTTTCATCCTTCAGTTGTCTTGCTTGCCTGAAAGGAATTTGAATTGTTATTGTAATGAGCCTTAAAAATAATTAGCTGTGCTCTTTCTCAATTACTTTGAATACAGAGACCCAAAAAAGAGATGTGCCAACCAGTCTCTGTGCTTCAGAAACAGGACTGCTACATATTTCATAAATGACCACAGCCAGATTTGTTAGGGCTAGATCTGTAAAAGAATTTCACTGCTATGTAGCTGAGCAAAACAGCATCTGCCCCCCAGGCAGCCAGGCTGTCATCTGTCAGATTTTCTTTCCCCTACCCTGGGTGGCTCCATGCTGCTAAAACTCCATATGGAGCACCTGAGGATTGTCAAATGATTCAGTAAAAAATTTTGGAAGACCTTCAAATGACAAGGGAAGGAGGATGCAAGGATGTAGTAAGTAGTTGGTCTCATGTGAATAGCTACTCCAGTGATCCTACATGCTCCAC